AAAAATTTATAATCTTAAGTACTTTGGAAAATAAAACCTAAAATAAAGAAACAAAATTTTCAGTACGACAAGCTGGAAACAGAGTAACAAAATAAACCAGAGGTGAAAGGTTGATGAGGAACAGGTATTTACATTATCTCAAGTGTCTCCTAACAAACTACTTATTAATCATGGAGAAAAATAATAACTTTAGAGTGACAAATCTTGAAGACATAACTATAAACAAACAATATCAGGTGACTCCTTATATTTTGCACCAAGAAGACATCATCACTTCTGCAGTATTTCTACCAAAAATGTATAACCTGAATTAATCGAATCAGACATACTCAAATTGAGGGCTATTCTGAAAAAACAAACAAATAACAACATAGCTTATATTTTAACAACGTCACAGTCAAGAAACACAGAAACAGGGCTGATGAAATGTTCCAGATTAAATGACATTAAAGAAACTACTAACTGCAATGCATTTCCTAGATCATATCATATAAAGAATATTTATAAAGGATCTTTTTGGACAATTGATGAAATCTAAATATGGATTGTGGCCTTGATAACAGTACTGTATCACTGTTAAACTTCCTAATTTTAATAACTGTACAGTGGTTCTTAAAATTAATACACTGAAGTAATTAGAGTAACTGGGCAAAAATGCCTCCAAATTTACACTCAAGTGGTTCTGAAAAAATACTATGCATAAACAAAAACATTCAGAGAGGATGCTAAAGTACAAACTTCTAGTTATAAGATAAATAAGTTCTTAGGATCTAATGTACAGTGTAATAGCTGTAGTCAATAATACTGTATCATACTGTATTTTATACTTGAAATTTGCTAAGAGGATAGGTTTTAAGTGTTGTCACCACACACAAACAAAAAAATGGTAACTGTGAGACGATGGATGTGCTAACTAACTTGATTATGGTAATCACTTCACAATGTGTATGTGTATATATGTAATCATCACATTGTACACTTTAAATACGTATAATTTTGTCAGTTATGTGTCAGTACAGATAGGAAAAAATAAAATAAATGAGATAAAATGCTAATAGTTGGTGATTCTGGGTAAAGTATATGGGAGTTCCTTGAACTTTCCTTTAAGTTTGAAATTATTAAAGGAAAAAGTACAAAAAAATGTTTTTAAACTCAGCCATAGACATAGAAGCAAATTATAAAAACAAAAGTAGAAATTTATTAGATGCTAAAATAGGGAGCTAGAGATAGGCAATCAATAAAACCAACGCAAAGCTGTTTTTGGAAAAGACCAATAAAACAACCATTGTTCAACAAGTCTGAAAAAGGCAGGAGAGGGAAGAAGAATGAAAATTAATGCCTAACATTAGAAGCGAAAAAAAAAAAAAAGGAAATGATTTGAGAGCTTTTCTCATTATAAGAAAACAACATGTATTTAACCTAATAAATATGAAGATGTAGTTGAAATGGACAATTTTCCAAGAAACTATATATTAGCAAAATTCCCTTAAGAACAGATATAAATTTGAGCATACAAATAACTATGGAAAAAAGTTACAGGGCAGTCTAAGATCTATCCTGAGAAAGTGCTAGACTCAGACAAATTAATAGGAAACATTTATCAAATAGTTTCGGGTTACTCATTTTTCTGTTACATAACTATTACAGAGTTTAACAAACCATTAGAGTTTAGAAAAGTTTAAATCATTCTATGAAAACAACATAACTCCAACATAAAATTATAAAGAAAACAAAGAAGAGAGAATGAGAGAGGAAGGAGAAAGAGAAGGAGTCAGGGAGGAAGAGAGAAGGGAAAGGAGGGAGGGAAGAAACAAAAGAGAGGAAGGGAAGAAACAAAAGAGAGGAAGGAAGAAGACACATTGTAATGCTAACTTATGAGTATAGTGCACAAATACATCAATAACAAATTGAAATCAATAGTTTTTCAAAAGGATAATAAATCATAACCAAGTAGATTTTATCCGAAGAATTTAAGGGACATTCCATATTTAGAAATTCATTAAAATCATTCACTATATGAACAAATTATTATGATCATTCCTTTAGATAGACAGTAAAAGATCACTTGCTAAAAATTCAACATTCTAAGTTTTTAAAAAATCTAGCAATCTAAGAACAGAAAAAAAAGCCATGAAGGAAAAGATTTACAAGTCTGACATCAGAATTTAAAACTTCTATACAACAAAAAAAGGGATAAAAAAATTTTTTTAACTAACAAAGCAAATTCCAATAAATCAACAGAAAAAGACAACAAACTCAACAGAAAAATGAGCAAGTCACAAAGCAGAAAATATAAATCACTAAGAAACATGCCAAAAAATGAACACAGGAAAAATCCTTAAGTCATCATTAATCAAAGAAAAAGAAAATTAAAAATGTTATTTCATACACCTTCAACTGGCAAAAAAAAATTACAGCTTAATATCAATAAATTGGTAAAAGTATGAGGAAATTCATTTACTCTAGTGAGAATAAAAATAAGTAAAACCATTCTGAAAAATAATTTTGTAGTTATCAATTAAAATTTTAAATTGACTTAAGTGCCCAAGGAGTTTCATACAAGAATATTGAAGCAGTGCTGTTTACAATGCTGTGATAAAAATGAAAATTACAAATGACCACTATCAGAGGAATAGTTAAACAAACCATGATCAGCTGTACTATGGTATACAAGAGCAATTCAAGAGTGTGGTAGATCAATATCAACATGGGAAGAGCCACAAGACATGCTGCTGAATAAAAACAAAAATCAAATACAATCATGTTGAAAAAAATATTATAGCATGTAATTATTTATGGCAGAAATGCAAACACTATGTATTTCTATAGGTACATACATGGAATGCACAGAAAAGGGTCTGAAATACACCAAAATATTAACTACTACCTCCTGAGGAAGCTTAGAATTAGGGAAGATTGTCAAAGGGGCTTTACATTTATTTAATTATATTGATTATATTATTTGATGGTATATGAATTCTTGAAAATAAAAATTTTATTAATTATAAAATTAAACAAAAATTTAGCAAATTATGTCATATCCAATCTGAGAAAACTGACGCATCTATTCAAAACAAATGTAGCAGCTTTATATGAACTGATATGACAAAAATAAAACCTTATGTATATGAACAATATGTACAGTAAGAAATTATTTGCTGGGGAAAAGAAAAAATGATGTATTTCTATAGGTACACACACATGCAGCTAATGCATAAAATAAGGTCTGCGAGAATACCCAACCAAACTGTAAACTGTTGTTACCTTTTAGGGAGAGGCACATTTACGCAAAAACAGACAATAAAATAAATTATGCAAATGTATGTGTGAGTTCAGTAGAGTAACATCATACTTGTACTAACATGGGAATTCATCTATATGTGCTCAGGGGAAAAAAGGAGAGGGAGATAAAAATTTAAATATTGCAACCCACATTCCACACAACAATATGTGCCCAGGAGTGAACATGAGTTGGCAGATGTGAATTTTCAGTGGTGTACATACCCCGTCAAATGAAATGATGCCAAGGTTTAATGATATGCATCTGGTGGTAACTCAAGAAATGGCGACCTATACCAATATGGAAGAAAAATTAGTTTTGAAACACTATAAAACAAGATGTCAATCTCCAGTGTAGCAATTTCTCCTAAACTTAAATATTTTTCAAGAGTTATTTTGATGATACGTGGTCATGCTGTCTTTATAGAGCCAAACCCTTATGTAAGATGTGAGACCAATATGTCTCTCTATATACATATATACTGTTATCCATCTAAATATGTATACAGGCACTGTTTGGTATTACCCTGTACAGTGATGACTGATTATAACACTGGTCAGTCAGCACAGTGATGAATATGATCTTTTCCTTTGGTCAATGGACATTCACTGCCATGCTGAGCCATTCTCATACTGAGAAGCAATACAGAGTCCTCAACAGTACAGACTCTGGAGTTTAATTGCCCATCTATAAATCCTGGCTCCAGCACTTACTCTTTGTGTGAACGCCACAAGTTAACTGTTTTCCCACATCTTAAAAAAAAAAAATAAGTACATACATATGTGTGCATGTGCGTGCATGCGTGTGTATGTGTGTGTGTGTATGGAGAGAGACAGAAAGCAGGGCGGGAAGAGAGAGGGAGGAAAAGGAAAAGGAAATCCTACTTCACAGGATTTTTGTAAGGGCTGGCTGTGAGTGAGTACGTTTAAAGCACTTAGAATGTGGGCCTGGCAGATAGTAACAATAAGTATCAGCTATCA